AATTAGTTTTGATTGACGATTAAAATTAATATCTTCAAGAGGACAAATAAGTCAATCGTTTGAAGATATTTGTTTATTTTTTTTTTTCTCTCTCTTCAGCATCCCGACGACACAGATATAATTATAGATCTTTCCTTTTGGACTGAATATAGTTTCTTTTTTTTTTTCTTTTGCTTTGTTTCTTACGAGACAGTGTTAATAAAAATGCATGATTACGTAAACGCACGTATCCATGCTGAAACATTTAAGGGAAAAGGAAAACTATAAAAAATAAATAAATAAATAAATAAATAAATAATATAAAATAAAATAAAATAAAATAAAAGCTTCGATCCAATTGAATAAAATAAAACTATACTTAATGGATAAAACTATGAAAAATAAATGATTAAACGTAAATGCATATTTACGTACATAATATAGTTCATCATAATATATTTTACGTTATGCGTTCTTTATCCTTTGCGATATTATTTATTTACGATAAATATCGAACGCGTAAACAAAAGATCAATGTCTTCTTTTAGTTTCGAAACGTAAACGAATTATCTAAATACTATGTTACGTTCGGTTGAAAGAATGAAATATGTGATTTAAAGAGAGAAGAAAAAGAAAATAGGGAGATAGAGAAAGAGAGAAAAGGAAAAAATAGAAGGAAAGAGAGAAAGAGAAAAAGTCGAAGACATATCGTTGTGTTTACCCTTCCTCGAACGAACCAACAACCAACCCCTGTATATAAATCGTTGCTAGTCCACCAAGCTTATAACTCGCTGGTGTCGCGAACGTATGTATATGTACACACACACACACACACACACACACATATATATATACATATATATTCTATGAAGTGTAAAGGTGATAGAAGAGGGAGATGAGGGAAGGTGAGAAAAAAATAAAACGTACACAAAAAAAAAAAAAAAAAAAAAGAAACAAAGAGTAAGCCAAACCACAAAGAAAATAGTTACTACCGTGAATCCTCGTTAATTATTTCGACCGACGATTCGTTTGTATGCGTATGTCTGTGTGTTCTACGTGTATAATTTGTATGTTTCGCGAGAGACGGAAAAAAAAGAGAAAGAAAAGAAAAAAGAGGGGTGGAGGGGAAGCAATAAAAAAAAATGGCCACACAAGCCTAAGTTGTCTCTCTCTCTCTCTCTCTCTCTCTCTCTCTGTCTCTCTCTTGGTCGACGGTATTTCAATTTGTTGAAAGTTAAATGTGTTTTACATCGCCGCTCCCTCCTCCCTCCCTCCCTCCCTCCTCCCTCCCTCCCTCCCTCCCTCCTCCTCCCATCCTCCTTCTCGGTGGATAGATGTATCCTCGACGTATTTTTATCGTTTGCAACTGACCGACAAGCTGGGCCACGAACCAAACACACGGCACCGTTGTCCTTCGCTTTGGTTATATTTGAAAAATATTTCTTTGTTTTTTTCTATGCCTCAATTCACTCTCTCTCTCTCTCTCTCTCTCTTTTTTTTTTTATTTTTCTTTTCTTTTTTACTAATATACAAACATTTACCCTTTTTTTTATGGACTATCGGTCACCCACCGTATCATGTATAGGTACACGCATTATACGTAAATCGTCGATTTGTTTGATAAGAAAACATAATAACAAATGATCTCCCGAACGTTCAGAATAATAGATTATTATTATTGTTATTTTTATTATTGTTATTATTATTATTATTATTATTATTATTATTATTATTATTATTATTATTATTATTATTATTATTATTATTATTATTGATTATTGTTTACGTAAATGTACGATGAAAATTTTACACATTCTTCATTCAGTTGATTACGGATTATGTATGTAGGTACATACGTTTTTGAAGAAATTAATGATAATCCTTTTATCGGCGATGATGATAACAGGAAGAGATAAAATCTGTATTATTGATTTAATCGTGATGTTACATTTTAACGTTTAATAGGAAAAATAAATATTATTTCGTTTATTAATCGAACGAATTTAATTTAAGGCAAAATTATATCATTTTTCTATCATCAAATTAATCAATGTTTTATAGCTAATGAAATGCAAATTATTTTTGTATTATTGATCATCAATCGACTTTGATTTAAATATATATATATATATATATATATATATATATATATATGTATGTAATAGAAATTAAATTTCTATCGTCAATCGAGTATAATTTATTTTACATCTACTAGATGTTTATAGTAAATTTTAATTGAGAAATAATTGACGTAGTATAATAGAATGTTAATTAATTGAATATTGAAATTATTACATTATTTGAAATCATTATTATTAGTAAATTATTTCAATTTATTATTAATTTTATATATATACATATATATATATTTGACATAGAAATTATATATTTGTATTGTTAATTAATTGAATCTATTTAAAAGAGAAAAAATGAAAAAAAAAAACAAGTAAATTTGAATATTTTCTTTTTTTCTTCTTTTTTTTTTTCTTCTTTTTTAATTGATCACATAATTTCTTATGTATCTTCTCACTATTCGTATCCAAGGACGTTATTTAAATATTTATAATTTAAATATTTATTAATTCAAATATTTATTAATACTTACGAACAAATAATAAAGAAAGCAAATATCTATTAATTCGAATTTTAAAAAAATTTTATTTTCTATTCTCTCTCCATTTTCTTTTTTTTCTTTTTATTACAAAATATATACTCGATATATATACTCGATATATATACCCATAGATAACATCATTAAATCGAATAATTTGATCGCATTGTACCCATTCAAATCTAACAATGAAAGATAAGAGAAAAAGTCTCGAAGAAAAATCATAGATGATATAAAATTTTCAACGAATCGATTGTGATCCGATTTTCTTCTTCTCTCTTTTCGATTCTTAACGTTCGCCATTTAAATATGTCTATCCATAAAATAAGGATTAGGTGGTCTGTTTCGATTTGCAGTAAAAAGAGATGGAAATCGTCTGAATCGTAGAATAAGGATCCACTAAGATACAATAAAATGTCTCAAGAACAGAGAGATAAAAGGTGTTACATTATTCTTAGTAAGCCAATTGGAATTTTTTTTAAACTGTTAACCGGAATAATACAGTGACTGTTGACCGAAATAGTACAGTATTTATATTATTGAAATTTCTTCCCCTAAAATGGCACTCGTTATTGACACTCAAAAGTTACAACTTTATATCGATTGTAATCGAATTCATAAGCAATTGTTTCTTTTTTTCTTTTTGTTTTCTTTTTTTTTTTTTTTTTTTTTTCATTTCTTTATTTTTTGCTTTCCCGACTTTGATCTTAGGAAATATATGAAAATTATTTTTTTACATTGTTATTCGTGCCAAAACGTTAAACCCCCTCCTCCCACTCCCCCCCCTCCCATAAAGTACCCTTCGATAGATATGGTCATGCTTTAGAACGAGTTAACCCGTGACAAAAGATTTAAATTTTCTTTTCCGATAAAGAATAAGAAAAAAAAAAAAAAAAAGAAGGAACGAAAAAAGAAACGAGAAAATACTTCTCTCTCATCATCTTTCGTCTTAAAAGACAATTTAAAGGGGGTACATAAAATTGAGGACAATTTAATTGTTATCATTTTGCAAAATACATGTGCGATAAAGCGAATACTTTTTACATTCGATAAAAAAAATTAATAAATAAATAAAAGTGCAGTAAATTATATATGTATATATACATATACATATTTCTTTGAATGTCATTAAATAATTAAAAAAAAATCGTTCGTTTTTAAATCCAATTAAAAAATAAAAAAAGAAAAAAAAAGAAAAGAAGAAGCTGTCCCAATATACTCGATTTTACAAATTCATTAATTATTGTAAAAAAAATAATACAATTTAATCAAAATATACATTTCATAAACGCACATATACATAAGCACGAACACAAGCATACAAACATACACACACACACACACACACACACACACATACACACATCCACGTTTATCCATTGAAAATCTTTTCATATCTTTTCATATCTTAAAAGATTAAAAAGTATTTCGATAATAATTTCCTCGATTTAATTTATAATAATAATTATTTCTTTTTATTGAAATCTAGGTATAAAAAACCGAGGCTATTCTTATTCAATTCAACTTTTGTATTCACTCGTATCATTTTCTCGTTAGATTTCCATTTTCTTTCTTATCGTCATGCTCGTATAAAATTTCTATACAAAAGTGAAAAATAAGATATCAGTATTCTTTCTTTCTCTCTCTCACTCTCTCTCTCTCTCTCTCTCTCTCTTTCTCTCTTTCTTCCGACGAAAAAAAAAAATTGGTCGTTAACGAGTCGTTATCATAGTTAACCATTCATTTTATTATTTCACGTAGAATGGCCGTCTTAAGAATAAAATATCTCGATGTCTTATTTATGTATATACCTAAACAAGATAAACTTCAATGACTTGAATTGTCAATTTTTTAATATCTCTAGAAAATTATACCATAGAGAAAAATTTAATGTGACCCATATAAATACTTATTTCCCCTTCTGTATCATTCTATAATTTTATTCAACACATTATCATCGAACTTTCATAGTTTCGAATATATTTAAAAATTGATTAATAATTATTTTATATACATATATATATGTGTGTTTGTACAAATTTATAAATAAATTTTTATAAATATATAAATAAAATATATAAATAAATATTGTTTATACATATGGATAAATAATAATAATAATTATTATTATTATAATAATAATTTGATTTTATATATGCAAGTATATATATATGGGTAATAATAATATATAGATAAAAATTATTACAATAATAATAAAATAAACATAATACGAATTATAATATGAATGGATAATAATTATAATAAAGACAATAATCTATATATATATTATTATTATTATTATTATTATTATTATTATTATTATTATTATCATTATTATTATTATTATTTATATACTCTGTGGCTAGATAATTAGATAATTAACGAATATCGAAACCCCCTTTTTTTTCAGATACTGGACCACAACAAGTAATGGACAATCATTAGTAACCGATATACCGCGCGATGGAAAAGCTGCAATAATCGATAGTATCGCATCGTCGTACGCATTGCAAAGGCCAAGGTTAAATGCAACACCAACTCCGAGAACGAACAAATTGATTGATCAAAAGAATAAACATAACGAAGGAAAATCGAATTGGCCATATTATCAGATGTACAGGCACTCGGTGGAAGCACAAAAGGCAGAAATTTTCAAGGACATTCAAAGGAAAATGGCTAACACGACAGGTGTTTCCAAAATCGGTCAATCGTGGATGAACAATTCCACGGATGTCTCACAACAACGTCAGCATAAACTTAGAATGAAACATCATAGGTTAATGGCTAAGGGCAAACATTTAAGAACGCGTAAGTTGTTCTAATTTTTTATATTTCCTTTTTTTTCCTCCCCATCCCCCGCCCCCACCCCAACCAATTATTCTTAACTTTGTATAACTAATTAAAGATTAATTTAGATACACGCAAAATAATATTAATCCAGTTCGGTCACTCAATCATCAAATTATTCGAACAATTTCGTATACTTTACACCGGCAATTATAAATGTGATCCAATCTTTTTATCCCCTCTACCATTTTTCCCCTCATTTCCCTACACACACGCATTATAAATCTCCAAATCGTTCAGACCATATCATAATGCGAATCGATGGGTGGGGGGAGGGGGACACGTAATTTCATAAACATTTCGTAAATCATTAATTTAAATCAAACGTTATCTTTGATCATTGGCGAATCAATATCATGATAAATATCAAACATGTAACGTGTTCGATCAGTTAGATCATTATAAAAAAAAAAAAAAAAAAAAAAAAGAAAAAATAAGAAAACTTTACTTTTAATCATCACGACACACGTCCACGCTACGACGTCCCCTTATATTTTTTAATCCTTAGGTCCACCGAGAGATTGCAAGGTCAGTGAATGGGGTCCATGGAGTGCTTGCAGTCGTAGTTGCGGAGTAGGGGAAACACAGAGGACACGAAAAGTGACGATAAAGTCGCGCCGAGGTGGAGCAGCTTGTCCGCCATTGAAGGAGACCAAATGGTGTGGCAGTGTTAGTCCATGTCCGGAGAACAACAAGTCTATTCTCGAGGCGTTTCATTGGTAGTCGTGTTAAGAAAAAGTCGCCGAATAACGACGACCTTTGACCTAATCTTACGAGAAGAATAAAGAGAACACACGGCCAAGTTATCCCGAGATTTATTATATTATATATACTCGATTAAGGAAGGATCTTGTGCGTGAAGATGATGACGACTGTAAAAAAAAAAAAAAAAAAAAAAGAAAAAAAAAGAAAAAAAAAGAAAAAAAAAAGGAAGAAAAAGTAAAAAAAAGAAAAAAAAACCGATGAAAAAGAAAAAAAAGAAAAGGAAGAGGGGAAGAAGAAGAAGAAGAAGAAGAAGAAGAAGGGAAGAAACAAAAGGAGAAAATAAATTGAGAATTAATGTTCTCTATTTCTTTCGTCTATGTTCTCTTCAGATCCATACGCATCGTATATACATATATATATATATATATATATATATATATACATATATATATATATATATATATATATATATGTATATATATATATATATATATGAATATAAAAATAAAATTACAATTGATCCCTCGGAACGCGGCAATAATCTTCTTGATAAACATATTCCTGATTAAATCACCAAAGATTCGTCAAATTTCAGATATATTTAATTAATTTTATTATTATTATTATTATTATTATTATTATTATTATTATTTTTATTATTATTATTATTATTATTATTATTATTATTATTATTATTATTATTATTATTATTATTATTATTCGAGTCAATCGGATAGTTCTCATTTTTAACGATCGAATAAGACCGATCTCGATTGGGAAGCCATTGTTCCAATTTATTTATTTATTTATTTTTTTTTTTTGCTCTTTTTTTTTTAAAGGGGATCGGAGATAAAAAAAAAAAAGAGTTCGTATTTTAACACTGAAAGAGAGAATATTTGAATCACTATAACTTGCATAGATCACATTACTTTTGCATAGATATTACGTATGATATGTATGTATATGTGTATATTGTTCGTAAGTAAAATCAATCAATCCAATGCTGTTCTAAAGAGAAAAGACGATCGATGATTAAACCGGATTCAGTATTTTTTCAAAAATCCGAAATATGAAAAATCCTTGAAACGTCGAACTATGATATGCGAAGTCAATAAAATATTTTTTATTAGCCTTCAACGACACAACAATGATCCGTGGAGGGGTAAAGGATGGTCGAAAGGGTAGTTTGGAGAAGGGACGGAGGAAAGGGTGGAGGGGCGGGAGGAGGAGGCTGTAGTGGTACGATATATCGAACATAATCGTTCGATTATTTTTCTCCTGAGAGAAGTTGAGATACTTACAAATGTTTTCAAAATTGAAACAAGATTACTATTTAACTATTTCTCTCTCTCTCTCTCTTTCTCTCTCTCTCTCTCTCTCTCTCTCTCTCTCTTCTATCTATCTATCTATCTATCTATCTATCTATCTATCTATCTATCTATCTGATTGAAAAATTCTTTATCAAAATTCGACCGAACGCATTGTCAACGTCGAAAAGAGTTTCACGTCGAATTATTATACCAAAGAATAAAAATAAAGAAATGAGAATCGTCCCTATCGTCTCGTGTATAGATATTGAGGAAATAACAATAAAAAAAAAGAAGAAAGAAAAAAGAAGAAGAAAAACAAACAAAAATGAAAAAGAAACAACAAAGAGAGGGAGTAGCATAAGAATCATTGCAAAAATGTTATCATCTGAATCGATAACAATTACTCGACACGATAGCGCAGCCATGATAACGAAGACGATAAAAAAAAGGGAGGACAAAAAGAAAGAGAGAGAGAGAGAGAGAGAGAGAGAGAGAGAGGGAGAATAAAAGAAAAAAAAGAAAAAAGAAAGAAGAAGAAAAAGAAAAAGAATGAAACAATAATAACACACAGGACTTAAAAATTTTTTGTTTTTTGTTTTATAGAGACCATTACAAGATGAAAACATTTTCGGAGAGACCTGTGTTCATATGATATAATATTGATAAATAGCATTGGAATGCTGAAGCTAATTCGAGCTAAGTGTTAGAAGAAAAAAAATAAAAAAAAAGGATATAACAAAAAAAATACAATAAATACAATAAATACAATAAATACAATAAATACAATAAATACGATAAATACGATAAATACGATAAATACGATAAAATAAAAGGAGAAATAAAAAATTAACATTCAATGATTATCACGTATAAAATTATTGGATTAGAAAAGGAGCCATCGCAAAAAAAAAAAAAAAAAAAAAGAGAATTGTTTCGTTTCATAGATCAATACTACTTCGTATTTCGTAACCTTAGAACCATTCGTCATATCATTATTGGCACACCCTTTACGTGCGTTTTATGATTAGAATAAAACGTCGTACTACGTGCTGCGTATGCGTGCGAACTTGCCGAAAATATTATACATAATGTTAAACTTTCAAGATTTAACATTGCAAGATAATAATTTTGCAAAATGATATAATAGATAAAAGAGAAAAACAAAGCAAAAAAAAGAAAAAAAACACTTGTACCGAGAATAGGGATGATTACTCGTGACGAAGGAAAAAGTAAAAAAAAAAAAAAAAAAAAAAAAAAAGACCGAAAAAAAAACCAAAAAAAGAAAGAAACAAAAAAAGAAATATCTTTTCGCCTAACGGCAGACGTATATAATAATAATAATAATAATAATAATAATAATAATAATAATAATAATAATAATAATAATAATAATAATAATTATAATAATAATTATAATTATAATAATAATAATAATATTAATATTAATATTAATAATAATATTAACAATAATAATAACAATAATAATAATATAATAACAATAAATAATAATAAATAATAATTACTACTACTAATAATAATAATAATAATAATAATAATAATAATAATAATAATTATAATAATAAATAGTATATAAGGAAGAACGAGTTCGTTCTTATCGTCGATCTTTCCCCATCGTTGCATGCAACGTGACAAAAAAGAAAACAACAACAACAAACAAAAAGAAATGAGAAGGGAAAATTTTTACAAAGATATCATCAGGTACGTCTTAGATGAGTGTATTATATCTTAGGTATAAGGAATTTAACGATAATAATTAACAACTAACGTTCAATGATAAATCGTTAATTATTAGACGGATAAATAAATAATAATAAATCGCTGTGTGGGTGCGTGCGTGTGTGTTTATGTGTGTTGTCGCTCACGCAACGAACGAACGAATCGAACGAACGAACTCTAACCTCCGAGCGTTTACCTCCTTCGCTTCTCCACGATTATTATATTATAGATAATTACTTGCTTTTATTTTTGACGTTAGAACGGAAAAGAATAGACGCAAAAGAAAAGGAAGAAAAATTCGGGAATAAAGAAACGAAAGATCAATTGATTTTAAAAAATAATATTCGATGAGGAAAGAAATTGATAAAATTATACGGAACATTGTAAAAACTTTTTACATTTTAACAAGTAGACATTTGTGAAAAGATTGATCTTGAAAAGGACGTGGATAATACCAATGATCTAAAAAAAAAAAGAAAAAAAAAAGAAAAGAATCGACTAGAAAGAAAGCACAAAGGATCCCGAGGTGATAACACAGGATCAATAAATTTATGATTAAAGGAAAAAAAAAGAAAATAAAGAGGGGAAAAAAATCACTCAAAAGCGGCGCCTATATATTTCTTGCGTTATTAAAGATCGATCAAAAATAAATAAATTAATTGATTAATTGATTAATTGATTCGAAAAAAAAAAAAAAAAAAAAAGAAAATTACTATCAAAGTGATTGCAGTCAAAATTGTTAAACTTTCGATCGTCGTCTGTTTACGCGTCGTTTAGACGAAGAAAAAAGAAAAAGAAAAAGAAAAGAAAA